GAAACCCATCCCCCCTTGTCCTGTCACAGTTGGCCCTACTAAAAAGCTTGTCCCCACCTTTCCTCTGGGCCCCCTTTAAGCCCTGACCGGCCGCACTCCGCTCTGCCCACAGCCTCCTCTTCTCCAGGCTGAACACCCCCAACTCTCCCAGCCTGGCCTTGTTTTCATTGGGTTTAGGTTTTCTTTTTTTTCCCCCTTCCTTCAAGTACACAGAAAATACTGACCGCTGGCTTCACAAGCTTGCCGACTGTTTTGTTCGTCCTCCTTTCATCCACGCTCCTTAGCCTTCAGCTCGCACAGCGCTAAACCACGCTTAAACAATTCACAAGACATTATACATAAAATGGAAAGCTGCAGTGTTAGTAGCATCTAGAGCTTGCAATTAAACTCCTAGGGAAAAAAAAACGCAATTCCCTGCTTAGAGCAGACTGTTTTGTGAATCGGACAAAAGCATACGGTGTTCAGCAGTCCAGATAATGGGGTGATTGAAAACAAGGAGTCTCCTAAAATTCAGTCAAGTCCAAGGTTATGCATGCAGTCATCTGTTACACTGCTAAGTTTTTTTTTTTTTTTTTTTTTTTTGCTTTCACTTGGTTTTGTTACGAAATCTCTCATACATGGCCCTTGCCTTACAGTAGCGTGGGGCTAGATTTTCCTGAAGGTTGTCGTTTCCACAAGGGGTCCCACCTCTGACTGGTGGAAGCTGCTGCATGCGGAACCTTTCTGAAGCTGGAACTTTCTGAAAAGCCAGGTGTCCATACCTGTGTTATAATTATAAATCCCATTTCATAATCCTTTATTATGTCAAACATCTGAAGTGGTTCTTCTGAAGTGGTTTCTTTTCCTATTTTAACAGAAACCTGGATCTTTTGATCATTTAAGTGGTTCTTAATCTTTTTGCATTTCTTTCATCTACATCTGACAGTGATCTGTTGTGGTACAGGTGATGACATGGATGCCAGCAGCTGTTAGCATTGGTTCTTACACGCTTTATGGCTGTGCTTTACAACAATGAACTTTGTGCCTAGTCCTTCAACCATGGCAAGACCCTACAGGCTTCTTAGCAACATGTAATGAAACGGTGGGTGTTTGTCTCCTCCCTTTGCAGGGCGGTGAGAAGCTACAAGATGCCTATTACATCTTCCAGGAGATGGCAGACAAATGCTCCTCCACTCTCCTCCTACTGAACGGACAAGCAGCCTGCTACATGGCTCAGGGCAAGTGGGACGATGCGGAGGGAGTACTTCAGGAGGCGTTGGACAAGGTGCTTTTGGTTTTGCCAGGCAGATTTGCTCTCCTGGGGACACAGAGTAAAGCAGCAAGGACTTTCACTGTTAAACTTTGTGACAACACGGGTATATTGATACATACCTCTGGGGGTGGTCGCTGTTAATACCTGCCTGTTCTTCTACTTTGCCTTTCCAGTAAAGCTGTGGGTTTGGCGGAACTTGTTCTTGCAGAACTGTGCTGGTTGTTGCACTTGGGCATGGTAGAGCTAAGTCAGGTTGCTCAGGTGACTGTTCTTGTTTTCAGGACAGTGGCCATCCTGAGACCCTGATCAACTTTGTTGTCCTGTCCCAGCACTTGGGCAAACCACCAGAGGTGAGGCTTGTTTTATTCTGTTCGGCAAGCAGGTATGATCAACCTCCTCCTGCTGCTGAGAGCAGGCTGTGTGCTCCCGGTGCGCGTGGTAACTTTGCTTGGGTTTTGCAGTTTCCTATGTTGTCGTTAGGATTGGCATTAACAAAATAAAACAGTTGTGGGGCGCGGGGGGCTTGCATCTTCAATGCTCAGTAAAGTGTTTGTGGAAATACAGGTGTAGACAGACTTGAGAGGAAGGCCTGGAAAAAGAAAAAGAAATCTCTTGAGTTCCGAGTTCAGTTCTTGCTGATCGTTTTCTTGAACCCACTACTTAAGGTCTGGTTTTTAAGTGCAGAGCACGCAGAGGTCTTGCTGGGTTTAGCTGGGGCTGCTACCATTCAGGACGCTGAAAAAATCGGGTCTTTGCTCACTACAAATACATTGAAGTGTGATGTTTTAAACTCTTGGCTTCTCCTCATGTCATCTCAATTTTTAAATTCCTCTCTCTCCTCCCATCAGGTTACAAATCGCTATTTGTCACAGTTGAAAGATGCCCATAAAAATCACCCGTTCATAAAGGAGTATCAGGCGAAGGTATGAACCACTTCCTAATGCAAAGTTGAAATTATCTGGCCTCACACCAGTGTCTGATGGGGCGCGTGGATGCAGTGGCTGCACTTCTGAGGGGGCAGGTCTGTCGCGTCACTTGCCAGCGAATTTTCTAGCCCCTGGGAGAGATGTTGGGAAACACAAGCCAGGTGTGATGTACCCAAACTTGGTGAGATCTGGAAAGAACAGCTCTGAGATACGGGCTCTTAATCCGAGTCAGAAGTTTGTTACCGTCAGACATTACACTCAAATAGAGGAAATGTCCTTCTGGGAGAGAGAATCTGGGGAGGGGGAAAGAAGGATAAAAATAATAGCGGTGGGAAAATGGAACAAATTGGGGGGAAAAAAAAGAACTGATGGAGGTGCTCTTGCTGCTTAGAATTGCTTTTGCCTTGCTGAGCTGTGATAGTTGTGTTCTCTTCAGGTTTTGTGAAATTTTCAGTAAAGTTTGAGGTTTGTTCATTTTGTTTCTGTTTCTGATTCAAAGGAGAATGACTTTGACCGGCTGGCCATGCAGTATGCCCCGAGCGCGTGAGGAGAGGGGACCGAGGCTGCGGACCCGCTCTGCGGTACCTTGGGAACTGGGGTTGATGTGCAAAACCTCTCTGGTAACATGGAAAAAAATGCCCCCTGCAAGTCGGTCTGGCTTAACTTGCTGTGGCAGGGTCTTGCAGTCCAGCAGGCCGGTGCTAAGCCTGTATATAACGTGTAGCTACCGGAATTTGGTAGCCGAAAAGCCTGTGTTCTGGCTTACCTGGGTCCTGAACTCTGTTTAAAATACAGTGCAAATCAGAGTATGCAACACCGTACCTTAAACATTCCTAATAAAGCCTTTTCTGGATCTGTCTGCCCCTTCATTTCTGGAATTCAAGTAATTCCAGTCTTGGC